AAAAAAATTCATAACTAAACAATTTATAAAGATAACATTTATTAAATATAGTTATCAAGATTATGTTACATCAATAGTGTTGACAAGTACAATTCTCATAAACAATAAAATATTAGCTATTAGTCGTTTATATTTGATCTAACAGTTAGCGGTATTGCTATTATGTTTAGCAACATAATATAAAGATCAAAAGTTATTATAAATACATTAAAAATAGCTATCTCCCTCATTTTCTCATTCATATGGTCTTTTTGTAGATGAATACTTTATAGACATTATTGAGAATCAATTGATTCATTTCAATCTCATTAGTCACTGATAATTCGTGCAACAGACGGACATAATTATAAATCTTTTAAAGGCATACTATCATATTTTCTAGGAAAGCAACTTTTATGAAAACACTATCTACAAAACAGATATAATTAATTGTAATGTTATCAAACATAAGTAGTATCACTATGTTCGAATTCTACTATTCAAGATTAAGTAGAATTTAGTTCATTATATAAACAGATATATATTCAAAAGAATGTTTTTTTCTATTTATTATTTTTCAATTTTGTAATCGTCAGATATTGTTTTTTGTAAGAGAAAATAAAAGTATTTTGTAAAAAAAAGGTTTAAGCAAGATATTACGTACCTATTCAAGATCATATAAAACGTAATTCAATCAAGGAGACATGAAGGTAAAAGAACATATGCATGTACATACTTTTGATCGAGGTTAAAAAAAAAAAAAGAGAAAAAGTGTGCGTATGCCAACGATACACGATAATAGAATAAGGAAAGCAAAAGAGAAGAAAAAATGTACATATGTACCAAACTATGCATCATACAATCTTACTAACACTTTATCAAGAAAAGAAACGAATTAAATAAGTTTACATTTCATTTGGGTATCACAATCGAAACTACTATGATGAAGAATGATCTCAATTACAAATAAAAAGAAACAGATAAAGCTGACTAAAAAAAAATATTAAATAGTATCTTCTCATTTATCATCCTTGATTTTTGTGAATCATTGCATCTTCTACTATAATAACGTTGATGCACATGGTTGAAAAAATTATTTAATTACAACTAGATTTGACTGATTTTTTTTTCATTCATTTACTATTGACAAGGATAAAGATAAATCTATTGAAAATAAAAATTATAATTGCTCACTAACCAATGGCAGGTCTAGGACTTTCGAAGGTAAGAGACAATCATAGGCAAAAAATTACTTTTTAAGTATCATTCGACGTAGTGTAAACTCGTACGTTTATTTTTGCTGAAATAAATCAAAGAAAATTTCTTAAAGGCGAGAGAACGCCTTTTTTTTGTTTCTCATAAATCCTCCGCTGTAGCAAAAACATCACCGTTGATGCAAAATACGAAATAATTTAGTATTTTAATTTAATATGTTTATCAATTTGAAAATCTCATCTATGTAATCGTTATAGACAGTTTCTAAACTTTCATAGCAATGTCGATTAGTCATTGTTGCATATATTTGAATAGAAGACCAACTATTATTAGACATGTTCTGAAGTTTAAAGATAAATAGGAACTATAGGAAATAGTTTATTGATTAAAATAAAGTAGTCAACTTCTTTGCCATATAAATCTAATGATTGAGGACTTTCATGATAATTGTCCGCGGGGCCATGTGACTGTTAATGTGATCAGAAGAGAAAAAAAATATGCCAGTATTTCAAGGTTTTATATTTGATATAGATCACAATTGTAGTTGAGCAAGATAGTTTTTTGTTAGAAAACAGTTTGCAAAAAAAACAATAATCTGTTGAAGTGTGACATTATCAAGCGTCCCTTGTCTTCCGGTGACCACTCTGTCTTACTCTTAGGTTAGCCATCTATTAGTAGGACATAAAACTTCATTGGCTGATGAAAAAGATCAATATAGAGATAAAAATTTGATTAGTTATTCGTTCGACTAAACGATCAAATCATTTTAAAATCACTTTCTTGTATTTATTTATTTCAGTAATTTATATTAATGAATATTTTTGTTTCGATTTGATTCGTACTTAAACGCTTGTATGACCCAAACAATAATTTTCAGTGTTGACTACGTTTTTTTTAACTCGTAGATAAGACTTATCATTACATAGTTGTGAATTATATGTGCATATTTCTTAATAGAAAAAAAACGAGAAGGCATCAAACTACTTAATATAGTTTATTTAACTGGTTAGTATAATTCTCAAAATAAGTTCATCATAATCAAGAATTCTTTATCTATATGATCACGATTCAACATAAGAAGTACTCTACAGTGATTTGGTCAGTGTATAGTTCTTTTTTTCAAGGATACTAACAATTATCGAACAACATAATCACTATTTATTCACAATGAATACTATCTTGAAGGAACATGTCTTACAAGAAGTATGACTCTAGAATAAATTAATATACGTTGAATTAAAGGAAAATCAGAATAGATGAGCTATACTAATTCCAACTAAAGAATTTCCACTATTATTTATTAGTTTATCATTAAAATAATGAATAAAGTCTTAAAAGAATATCTAACATAGTTCATTTGCATATTAACATCGATTCTCAAATCAAAACGAGTACTCATTATCATCCATAACAATGACAAAGTCCAAACTTGAGAATGTTGTATTCTGTTATTTTAATCAATTTTTCATAATCTTCAAATTGCCATGTTTCTTTAAACAAACTTTTAAGCTTCATAAACATATCAGACCTCTTGTTATTAAACTAGTTAGAAAGTTTCATGAATATACAGTCACTGTTAATTATTGACATCGTTTGCCGACAATGCGAACAATAGGAAAATTTCCATCTATTTTAAACATAATCTTACAATTGAGATAATAAATATTCATTGAAACTTAAATTCAATCATCGATTCGTATGTGATAATTGGTTGCATACAGTTTTATTTTTCTAATAAATCTTTATTAGTTTTGATGTATTATACCATGTAATCAATGAACTTAGATAAAGTGTGTTTTTAAGCACAAGCACTAAATCCTTTGGACGACAACGGTCATATTAAATTGCTTGTGATGACCATCACATCAAGTAAATCAACATTTTTTTTCTGAGTAGAATAATATTAAAAATATCGATATTATTCAGTTTAAATCACTAATTAGATCAGAATCATTCTGAAATTTGAAACAAAAATTGAAAATTGTTTAACAATGATGAAACAATAAGGTTTTCCAATTTTTGACCATTTCATGACGGATTTACCCATGTGCTACCATATACTGTAAGGTTGTTCAATTGAAATACATGAAGCATCTGCAATCTTGTTGTCATCTGGTTGTGTATAGAATGTTTGTAAACATTTCGATTTTGTTGTTCATACACAAAATTATGTTCATGATTGAGACATTTAAGTGAAAGAAATGCTAATGTTTCTATATAGTTTCCATAATAGATTTTCAATTGTTAATGAAATGGAATAGACAAATGTTCTTAATTGAGCTATATATATCACAAATGAAAATTGTTGAAGGAAAAATGTTACTTGTACCGATGTATCATCATCCTTAGATAGGCGTAATGATTACCATGGTTGTGTATTATTTTATCGAATAATAAGCTTAAAATTAGTTAAACTTACCATATCAGATGAACCACCAATGCCCGTTCGATTCGTAAAACATGCAATGTAATAAAACGGGTTTGATTTATTAAAGAATAAAAAACCTGTCAAAAAGAGATTTATATTTTGAATATCTGGATTAGCAAGTGATATTGCTTTGAGATCATACTTGTTAAACTTGTCTTTTACTTTTTCTTTATATTGTTTATTCATTGAAAAGCAAGGCTAATATTTTAATTTGAGTTCCATACATAAATTAGATGGCATTAGAGAAGCTTCGAATGTTGACTGTTGGAAAAACCGATATCTCATAGAAAAAAAAATGAATAGTCGTTCCTACGATTGATTATGTAACGTTTTTCTCCAAAAGATATTTACGTTTTACTGAAATAAGGTTTTTTTTCGTCACTGTAAAATTGGAAAATTTATATTGCAATCAATCAGTCAGTCGATCGGAGCCAAAATGAAAGCGAAAAGTATTCGTTATGAAATTCATTACTAAGGGGGTTCTATTAACGGGTATAAACATAATTTTAAAGAATACTTTTGATTGATCACTTCATTCTCTGTCTTATTCATGATCTATCATCAGCTGTCTTCACGGTTGTCTGAGGTATCACCTTCGAGAATGGCAGCTATGTTTTATTACTATCTTTGTTTTTCGATGACTCTTTGTAAGAAAATGGAACGTCATATTAAAGATCAGAAAAACGGATGCTATCGATTCGATCATGAAATTTCACTCTCGTATACGAACGAGTATTTTATAACTTTCGCTTCTTGAGATCATCCCGACAGAAAATGACAATTTTTGATACCTACGTCGAGAAAGAAGGAACGGAAAAAACTCGCGAAGGACTGCATTAACAAGTCAGTCAATTCACTGTCTTATTTTTAACGAACATTATTTTTCTCATAAACGTTGATTTCAATCAATTTTAAAGGTCACTCAAATATTTATGATCGTTATACTCAAGAAAAAGTAATTATACGAACATACTATCGATCAACCACCAAATAAAAACTTTATAAGTTCTAACCAATTTTTTTGCACACTTAGTGCGATAAATAATACAATGCCAATATTTGATACAGCGGATGAATCAAATTTAATCGAAAACAAATGTGGGGTGTGGGTGTCAATGAGGACAAGATCGACACTCATATCCACATCCAAACCCCACACCCATAT